TGGGTGGGTGGGTGAGTGTGTGTGTGTTTGAGCGTGGGCGTGTGCAAGTGTGTCTGTGTATGAGTCTGTTTGGTGTGTTTGTATGTGTGTTGTGTGTTTGTTTTTTTGTTTTTTTTTAGGGGGGGGCATATTTTGGTAGTATGTAAAGCGTTTTTGGTAAGATTAGGGTTGAGATAGGGTACATTAACGATGAGATGTTTTAAAAAAATGCTATTGCTGGCGGGCCATTGAACGGGAAAGACAGAAGCGACAAAGTGAAAAAGTCCTGGCAGGATCTACCGGTATCTCCCTCAACCACAATGTCAACTGTCTGGAGATATTTTTTTTATAAAAGGGCAGAAACATCAAAACTACTCAAATACCCTTGAATCTGCTCTAACGGCCTCCTGTATAGAACAATCACCCGTACATATGGCATATTCCCTTTTTTCCCTTCCGTATTTTTAACATTTTGATAACACTGTGAAAGATGGTATCATGTCCAACACTAGCAAGCTTCTCTCCCACAATGAGTGGCCGTTTTAGACCATTTTAATTGTATTTCTAAGCAGGTCCAAAGAGGTTATAGAAAGTGCTAGAGTTCGAGGCTGTGACGAAACCCACGTACCGGGAAACTCATTAGGACTGCGAGGGCCCACTCAGCTCGCTTTGCCGTCATCTCTGAGAGGAATAGAAACAGTGCTGTCACTGTGGGCGTCCTTCGCAACGCCTAGGTTGTAATAGGGTATAAAGCTCAGTTCAGTTTTATTTTAAGCTTTCTTCTTGTAGCCGTTGTTGTCTATCCATACAACATACATACATACATGCATGCGCATACACAATACTGCACCTGCTGACCGATTGTGGGAAACATAAATGCACTTAAATGTGGGCTACAAACAAACAGAGGGATGTAGTATGAGATATTGTTTGTTTTTCGGGGTTGGTGTGGGGGTGATTGAGTTTGTTAAGAAAAAGGACCTTTTTCATGGCCGCTTTCCCTCAAGTTTGAAATACGTGGCGTCACAGCTGAGCGTTCTAGTTCTATTTGTAACCTCTTTGAGCAGGTCAGAAACTATTTGCTTGAGGTTAGTCTTGCTCTTTTGTTGTAGTGCCCAGTCATAACATTGATTCATTTTCTTCGACCTACCAGAGGTAAGCCCAGCAATATGTAAAATGTTTCAATTAATTTCCTTTAAGAAAATGGATCTATAATGCAAGATGTCTTTCGTCACGTGGAAATCAAACTCATGCTGAACAAGAACAAGCAAAGCAAGGAGACTAACAAGGAAAATAAACCAAGAAAAAGTATAGCAACAACAACAACAGCAAACAGTAGAAATGATAATAGCGAACAACAGAAGTATCCACAACTACAAAAGAACCAACGGGAACGACACCGAAAACCTCAACAACATGACAACAGCTACAATAACAGCAATGAACTACATCTTCATGATAATCAAACAACTCTACGACTTTCCCGTTGCCATAGCTCACCTCTCGTCACATGTTTGGCACCTCTTCCACTGTGGAGAGGTGGAACATTTGACAGAAGCTCTTGGGAAGACATATTTCTCTTTTATCCTGAGAGAATGGTTATCCCTCGCAAATAATGAGTCTGATATCTATTTCCACTTCCTCCAGACCAGCAGGGAATAAGCCATTGTGATATATCCCAGAACTAGCCCTTAGTTTCTCCTTTTTTATTCAAGTGTCAACCCCAGAACACATCACTGATAAGACAAGTGGATCCTCGAAATGACTCAAAGCTCAAAAGACCAAAAACCATTGTGGTGAAATCAGTCGGTCATCAAAATAACGATTTTTTCCCCTCAACACTTGTCATGTCCTTTAGAGACATGTTATTCCTCTGTGTGAGGGGGTTTTCTGAAAAAGTTGATCTAAAGCACACAAAATATAACGCTGCAGTTCCCAAGGACTCTGAATTTTTGAAAATCACTCAACTTCGGCAGCAATTTACTCGCTATTTTTTTTCTCTGAACCAAACAATACCCACGTCCTCCTTCACAAATATATCTGCATTTATTCAACATAGATTGGTATTTATTTTATTAAAAGAAAGACAAATATACAGGCCCTAAGATGATGCCAATATCCCAAAATGCCGAAGTTTACGAGCACCCGATTCCACCGCGTCGCCATACAAATTGTTTTCCAGCTTTACGTTGAGCGTAAGAGTGCAGTGAACGATTTCTGTCCAAACTATCAGAACCCCAAATAATGTCTGCCACAATCGAATCGTCTGAGAGCTTTTCAATGCGCAAAATTATCGAATCTGATGCGACACGATTATGCCATAACCACGCCATTTTGAATGCGTCTGTTTAAATTGTTATATTTAGCATGTTTTTATTAACAATTGTTCCTTTCCTTAGACAATCATTTCGGAGTTGCTAAATTTTAAAGAATGTTTCCAAGACGATGATGAATTATGCATAGAAAGTTTTATTCTCCTAAGTTCGTACTAATCCAATGCCCCCCCCCCACAACACACATAATTATTGTATATATCCCCTTATTAATAAATACTAGTTTGCCTTAATCTTTTTAATGAACAGCAGATACTAATTACGTAGAAATATTTACCCTCAGAAAAGGTTCAAAGTGCGAAGGAAAAACTAAAAAAAAAAAAAAAATAGGCTGTCGCAAAACTATTTGTTTTAACTTACTAAGCTTGATCACGCCTAATTTCAGAAAGAAAAAAAAGTAGTATATTCCTGGACAATACTTTAAAAAAAACACAAATCAGAACACAGAATAAAATAAGGTCATAATTAAACTAATCCGCTGACCAGGATTCTCTATTCTCTTTACATTGCATTCGTTCTCTGACATCAGAAAAGCTAACAACCCCTTGATCAAGTTATTCATTTTAACACTAAACGCTCTTGATAAAATACCCAAATCAGTAAATATTCGAAAGACTTTGTGATAAAAGTAAGCTCTAATCA